CAATTGGACTAATGACAGGGCTGGCTTTGCCTTCAGTCATACATCTGTATTTATGAAGAGAAATTCCCTGCAAATGAAATCCTTTGTTCTTTTTGCTCAAATGAACAAATCCCAATGAACACACATCTGTATGCATACAGACAGCTTTTACAACAGCATGACACTGGCATGGCTGCCAAGAGCCGTGACCAGCAGTCATACTAATGTCCAGCTGCAATTTAGGTAGCAGCAAAATCCTGCTTCCCTCTCATATTACAATGGATTCTGTAGGTAGAGCAGGGTGTTTGTACATGCAGAAGTGGATACCTTTTTATTATCCTGTTTTTCATCAAGTGTTCATCTGTTTCATAGGTGAAGCCATAAATATATTTCTTATATGCATGCAAAACAAATCCATCATGAAATACACTTTGAAGTCATGAAACCTGAGGGAGGGATCCAACTGGTTTTTTTTTTTTAATATGTGGCTCTGTAAAGAAGATGATCTCCCTCATAAGGGCACATTTTAGATATGTTTTCCTATCTTTCTGTATGTGTAGCTTCTTTGTTTTCATTCCCCACCCAATTTGTAATTAGTGTTGCTTTCTGGAGTAAGTTTGATATTGTGTTTCTTTAAAATAACAGGAGTAACATTTCTTGAGTGACAATGATAGTAAAGTGACAAGGTGTGCTTCAAGTGGGCAGAGCGTAAAGTGGCAAGAGAAGTAGTTAGCAGTAAGCTGAGAGGAAAAAAATAAAGAAGTTTTGGGGGAAAGGTTCAGGCTCAAGGAACACTAATAGGAACACTATGTTAGACACACAAATGGTATCTGAGTTGTATTTATTAATAATTTGGCAGTGCAAGTTGATAGCAAGAGGGGTAATTGGGGTTTTGTGTGAGAAGGGTTCATTTCTTTAGTAAAAGATAAATTCCAGGTGATTTTGCCATTGAGGATAACAGCAAAAATAACAGCAAAACAGACCCCACTACAGAGTATGGCATTATAGAAATAGACCATCTCTTGTTTCCCATCTCATCTTTCAAAGACTACAAGCTCAGTATAGTTATCATATTATTACATGACCTGGACCTAGGGGAAATTTAATTAGCTCAATTGATTTTGCTGGTCACTTCAGCCTGGGGTACATCCCAACTTTTATGGAGGTGAGAGGGAATAATGAATTAGCAGAGGCAAAATCCTTCCAATGAATTGTATTTTTTTTAAGGGAAAACACACAGCAACACACACATGTACACACACTCTCTCACACACAAGAGCTAAAAGGAAAGGCTTCACTAACAAGATAATTACCAAAACTTGCTTGCTCCTTTTAACATGATGAAGATATTACTCAACTGCTCACAGAGTGGCATTGTTGGGGGGGGGGGCAGCATGAGTGGAGACTAATAGAAGTTCAGAGAGGCTAAAAATCCCCCTTGTACTCCATACTAGCTCAACAAACAAAGGATTTTGGGGTCCTTAAATAGGCCAAAACTAGCCTTCAGGCAAAGGTTATTTACTACAATTCAAAAGGTGCCAAATTTACATAGCAAAGATCACTTTGATATAGCTAGTCTCCAGAGGTGGCGATGGGTCTTCTCTGGCTCTGGTCTTCCTGCTGGAAAAGTTGTGAAAGTTTCCTGATTGCAACTCCTGACTAGCTGTTTGGTCTTTATTTCTATACGGTGCCTACATGGTTTCACTGCTTTTGGGTGCATGGCAGCTCGCTCTACTGTTCCGTCTAGGGCAGGGGTAGGCAACCTTTCCCCTTTAAGGGCCAAGGGACTTCAGCTCACAGAAGCCTCAGTCATGTTGGCCAATAGTCCCATGTTGGCCAATAGCTCCTGGGATTCTGGGAGCTGAAGTCCCTCGGCCCTTAAAGGGGAAAGGTTGCCTATCCCTGGTCTAGGGCCATAGCAGAAAAGTATGCACACCCAAAATTGGAACTGTTCAGTGCTTGTAACAATATGATAGACTGGGGAAGCAGCTAAAAATTCTTGGAGGCTTTGCTATCTCTGGAAAACAATTGCAGCAGCCTAGGAATGTGTTAGGTTAGATGAGAAACCATCATTGGCTGCTTTATAAATAGTGTAGGGGAAAAGCTTGTGGAGAGTAGGGATGTGAACAAGTCTTCACATTGCCTCATATTGTGGGGATTTTCTAGCCTTCCTGCAAGATCTTGCTTTCAGCACATAGTCTTGTAGGTTTCCCTCCCATCTTTGAGTAAAATAGTGCTTTTTCCCTTTGTGAAACCATCCACATGTTTCTCCAGGATTGACAAATATATATATATATATTCAAAAGTTTGTTTTTACATTGTTCCACTTCTTGCATGAAAACAAATCTAGTCAGAATTTCCATCCATAGTAGAGAGATAGTGAAGAATGAAAGTCTGTCTTGTGAGGAGCTACAATGTTATGTTTACTTGGTATTGGGGAATGCTACATGACTAGCATGAAGATTTTAAATCAAGGTCTAGTCTAGGCTGAAAGATATTTGGTACTCTATGGACGTTATCACACTTGGGCCAGAAAGCAATAATAAAGTGGAAATGAGGCATTCCAAAAACAAACCAAAAATAAACCTTGATTCTGCAAATGGCTTTCACACGTAATTACCTTAATTGCGAAATTACAGTAAGCGCATTTAACATTCACACACAAGCGAGAAAAGCCCATAAATGTACTAGAAATGAGCTTCTTGCACAAGCTCAGATAGAGGAATGCTCACTGGAACCATGGGAACAGCAGGGAAATGCTCCCAAATGCACATTTGCTTTTCACATTATGGTAAATTTGCATTTCCTCCAAAGAACCGAATTTCAAAAGATCTCGGTTAACACAAGTTTCTGTCCACTTTCTGTCCAGTTTCTGTGCAACATCATGTGAAAACGCGAGGCACAAATCCAGTTTCTGTTTGGGATTTGTGTGGATTAACCAGCAGATTTGCCCCCGTGTGATAACGTCCTATGAATTGTAAAGATTGGCTCCAAAGGTTCTTGTCGGAAAGACAATTTCTCACAACATTTCCCACATTCTCATTTTATTTGTTTCACATGTTTGTCCTTTCTGTAAGGCAACTTACAAAACCACTTACTATTACAGGGAATACACTAAATGACTAGCCATCGATAGTATATTATATCAGTGATCTCTCAAATAAGTGATGTGGTTTTAATGGCAATTTCTGAAAAATGAGAGATGTACTCTAGTGTTGCTGTGGAACAAAATGTTGTTAAACTGTGCTGTTGTTAAAAAGGCTTTTATTTATCTTGCTGACATGTTTCGGGGAGACCCTTCTTTATGAGCTGATTCTTCTGTTTCTCTCTTTTGATGCCAGAGTTTCTAACATTGAACCTTTTAGACTATTACAGTCTATTTCAGGAAGAAGATTCCTCCTGATGTTGCTGAACTACAACTTCCAGCATTCTTCACCACTAGCTATGCTAACTTGGGCTGCTGTGAGTTGTAACTCAACAATATCTGGAGAGCTGCACCTCCTGGAGTACTACATGTAGAGCTTCTTTCAAAGGCAGTTTAGAAATGTGTGCACAATTTAGCAGCTGACTGTGACTAGGTGTACAAAACAATCACTTTTCTATAGTTTAAATGTATTGCTCTTGGTTTGTATCTGAGTCTAATTCAAGGTGCTATTTTCAACCTTCCCTTAAAATCTCAGAACACCTTAAAGTCTACCTCAGTTCACAAAAGCCTGCCGGGAATGCTCATTTGAAATTTTCTTATTGACCTGAAGTGAAGCCATGGACTGTGATAGGCATGAGATGGGTGGCAGATGATGGGAAGAGGGGAGTGGCTGTGAGAAGTACTATTTTAAAGAAAAAGGCCATTTTTGTGTGTGGTCTGTTTCTTTGCACAGTACAGTAGGGGTGCTATCTTGACCCTTGCCTCAGGCAGCAAAATGTCTTAGAATGGCTCCACACTCAAACATAGACTGTACAGTGCTCAAAATGCTGAGAGATTTTCATCAGTGGCAAATCTGTCAGCATTATCATCTCCAAAGTGCAAATCAAAGGACCTTGAGGCTGAGAGAAAGTTGCCTGCATACAATAACCTAATAAAGTGATGGAAGATGCAACATTTTGAATTGGAGGAATCCAGCCCATTTGCTTAGCAACTATAAATTATGCTATACTGGTTCCCTCAGACTTGCTAAGTTTCTAGTCTTTTTTTATGAGCTATAAACAGAGACGTTTTCATCTCAAGGGTCAGATTTTCAAAATATCTAGAAGGTATAGCTCCATTGATTTCAGGTTGTGCTCAGTGAGGAACTAGCCTGAAGACATTTCATGGCTGAAAAATGGGCTAGTTTTTCTGTAAACGTAAATAATTGTAACTCCACTATTACTAAAATAATATATTTCCCCCTTTACAATATAGAAATTTAATCACTGGAACAACATGCTTGGTAATATGGCGCAATCTCTGTTGCTTTCAAATCTTTATATTAAGATCAAGGTTTCTTTCATTTGCTCAACCTTTTTTTAAAATCATTCTTAACACTTGCTGAATTCATGAAACTCAGGTATGTCATGACTGTAGATGAAACAAATATTTAAAGTTTTCTGCCACTCCTTTTTGCACCAGGAAACAGCCAGGTTGGGGTGTGGTGTGCAGTTGCTGCAGCCCCAACCCGGTGAGGAAAGGGGTGGCAGCAAGCCACTCCTTACCCACTGTCTGTTTTCCTCCTTAGCCTTCTCTGTCACAACAAATTACAAGGTATAGTTAATTTAGGGTCCTTTTGAAAATTCCCACTGCACTGAAATGCTGATCAAATAACATTTTTAAATCAAGAAGCTTACTGGAAATCTAACTTTTTGAACTAGAAATATGCTATTTTGAGACTCCATAAAAGTTTTTATTATTATGTGAATGAATGATTTCTCCAAAGTTACAGAATACATCTTCTAAACATATTAGAATTAAATCCACATGCATCAAATCCAGGGGAACCTATAAAAGGCAATTTGTTTTATTATGTGAGTATTAATACATCTTGAGAGCCATAGTGGCATAGTGGTTTGAGTTTTGGACTATAACTTTGGAGATGAGGGTTTGATTCCCTGCTCAGCCATGAAACCCATTGGGTGACCTTGGGCAAGTCACACTCTCTCATCCTCAAGGGGATGCCATGGTAAACCACCTCTGAACAAATCTTGCCAAGAAAACCACATGATAGATTCACTTTAGGGCCATTGTAAGTCAGAAATAACTTGAAGGCAAACAACAACAACAACAACAACATGCTTTCCTTTGTAGCCAGGGGGCTGTGGAAGAAAGAAATGGCACTAATATTTGATGGTTAAGCATTTATATGTTGAAAAAATTTCATGTGCAATTTCCTATGATAAAGGAGACAATTTAAGATTCCTATAATTTTCATTGATAAATCAAGTTATGTTGATAAATACATTAAGGCAGCAGTTCTAAAGGGAAAAGAGACTAGAGAAGGAAGTTGTCCAGTCCTAGAATCGCCAACATGTCCATAGCTCTCTTGGGTTTTGTCAAGCAAGTCAAAAATGTCAGAAATGATCATTTTGATACCTTTTGAATCCTGTTCCATATGAATGAAAAAACCTTCCCAATATCAGATGCACTGAGGTATATTTAAATTTGTGTAAAGGCTTAGAGACTTCCTCCTAACCACTGTCACACTGCCACCACAACATTTTAGAGCCTCTTCAAGACTGGGGTTTCAACTGGGGGAAGAAGAACCATGGAAACCTCTATAGTGGCTGGCATGGTCCCACCAGGGGTTCCAGTCTGAGCTCTCTCCCTTGGGTTGGAGCTTCACTGAGAGTCTTCAGGGGAAATCTTTCCTAAAGTTGATCTGATGTATTCCTGGATGATCCAGCCCTACTTTTAAGCAGAATTTGTAGGCTATTTCAGACAGCAAATTTGGGGTATCATGACATTTTTTTTATTTTCCTGCCCGGGATGGTCAGTGGTGCTTGTGGGACTTTCCATCTTATGTGCCAGGTTAACTGGCTTTGGGTACTGTGCATTTTGACATGAATGGAGAAGGGCTTGACTTGAATTGATAAGGGAACTGTCAGCAATCCGTGTAGTACAGTTTAGTACAGTTAGTAGATAGGACAGCTTGTTAAAGAGCAGCAATAATGAAGGTTTGGAAGACAGGCAATTGAGGTGCAAAAAATCTTTTCCTGCTTTTCTTGGGCAAAGGCTTTGTTAGGTCGACTATTGCTAAATGGATGAATCCCCATAGCAGGATTTAGCTAGGCAGCTGCTGTGTGGAGCACAGAACACTATATTACATTAACATTACAGTAACTCCATTAAGTGACATCAGACAAATATTTGTACAAGGCAGTACAAATTGTGTGCTGCCAATATCTAGTTATCAGGGAGAAAAAACAATGTGTATATTTTTTTTTTTTTTGTAAACAGGGCGGAAGTTGACAAGATGTGATCATCATCGCTTTTAATATTCTGCAGGCTTTTTCAAAAGCCCAGAATATTTTAAAATGTAACCCATTGTGATTTTTCAAGATTTTAGACCACTATTATTTTTTTCTTTCTTCCAATCTTTTGACCATAAAAATAAACGTGGTTCATTTTATCTGTTTCAGCATCTTGGGAAAGCTTAATTTAGTGATTTTTCTTGATAAGTTTAAATAGCGCCCTATATAAAGCCGTTTGTATTTACAGATTTGTGGCTTTTTTTTTTGCCTGTGAACTACTTTGCTGTTTACAATAAATCTTCCCTAAATGTGGCAGAAAGTGGAAGGAATTCTGTATTAATGCTTCATAATGGGTGTATAGTTAAATAATTTTTATGAAAGCAAAGGTGTCTCATTGTTACCAAGGCTGCTTTCCTGTAGCAATATTTTCACATGATTAAGTTAGAGATCAGATAGCCTTCTTAGGCAGTATATACCCAATAGCAATTTAAAAACTCAATATCTACTGTATTATTCTAAAGACTCATTCCATTTTCAGTGGAAAATGAATACAAAATAAAGAGATAAACTAAATATAAAATGTAAAACATGAGAAAATTTATCATTTGAAAACATAAAAGCAAAAAAAAAATGTAGAGAAAGGGAACAAAAGCTAGATAGAGCTATGAAAGAACATGGGGGAAAAGTAGATAAATCTGCAATGTTCCTTTTTCCATAAGCAGTTTGGCTGAATTTTTATTAAGGTGCATATGCTTTAATTCAGGTAGTATGAATAGTATAATCATCTCCATAATGCACTTTGCTACTGCAGGCTACATATCAAATTAATTTATGCCCCTCTGCAAATTTTGAGCTTCAGTTGATACAAAACAAAAGGGAGTATTGGACCCAGCAGTGAGGCAACCCATGAACCAGTTGATTTACCTTACTCCTTGCACACGAAAATGAGTAGATAAGTTTTAAAGACTAGAATATTGATGGTTTGGGAGACAGCACAGAGACATATGAAGATGTGTCTGAAAAGTTCCTGATAGTTTCTCAGGTTGATTCAACTGTAAATTACAGTGCATGTCAGTGGCTAAGAATCACTTGTAATCTCATCTATATGGGATTGCTGGATAAGTGCCAGATCTTCTTTTTCTCATTTTAGAAGATCACTTCAGTGAAAAAACATCCTCATCAAATTCATTGTACACTATTGATATCAGTGCACTGTGATATTCTTAGATCATTTTGATTGTAGACAAGAATCAGTTTCTACTTAGGGATTAATTTCGTTATCAATTTCCATGTGTACATTTTTGTTTTCCAACTCTGCATGTACTATATTGGACAAATACTTCTAACAGAACCAAACATAGACACATATCCAGTTAATATCCAAAGATGCATTTTCTAGGGAAGCCAAATAATTTCCCCCCTTTCACTTTATACATTATTAGTAACAGATAGCTAATTCTGTCTGTTGGCAGGGCTGGTTTTATATGTCTTGAATGATTTGGGATTAAATCTAACCTTCAATAGGAATAAAATATTAGGCTACATCCAGTCTTGTGTGTTTGGAAAGTGGATTTTTTTTTTGGTGTAATCTTTAGAGATGAGGAAGTTGTCGTGGAACCTGAGACTTACCCTGTTTTGTCCCCACAAGAAACTTGGATGGAAGTTGACCTGAAAGAGTGTGTACATAATTGGGGTAAGGATTTTAGGAATCTAGTACAGATTCAAAGTCTTAAAACTCCTCTATGGCTGCATCTGCAGTGCAGAAATAATCCAGTTTGACATCACTTTAACAGCCATAGCTCAATATTATGGAATTCTGGAAACTGTAGATTTTTGCTACACTCTGGTGCCAAAATAAACTACCATTCCCAGAATTCCATAGCATTGAGCCATGGTAGTTATTTCTGAAGTGCAATCACAGTCCATGTTGCTGTAGAGAATGACATTGTATATCTCTTACTAAATTAGTTAGGATTTAAACATGCTTAACTTTGTCTTAATCAGGGCTCCTGACACATTGGAGAATTCATGCAGTTTGATGCCACTTTAACTGTCATGGTTTCATCCTATGGAATCCTGGGATTTGTAGTTTGTTGGCACTTGAGCACTCTACAGAGAAGGCTAAATATCTCACAAAACTACAGGTAGGTCCCAGAATTCCATTGCATTGAGGCATGGCAGTTAAAGTGGTGTCAAATTGCATTGATTTTGTAGTGTTAATGCAACCCTTGTCAGTATTAGACATATTCCTAAGAAGGGACAAGGAATAAGCAAATGCCTTTGACATTTTGCTGTAAGAAGCTTTCATCTTACATTGCTTTTGCAAAGGAATATATATATATATATATATATATATATATATATCAGGTAAACATGAAAAATGCCATCACCAGGAGGAAAGAATGGGGTTAAATGATGGCTCAAAAATGCTTAGTTAAGTGATGGCTCAAAAAATGAGAAGGAAGAACTGAGAATAGTTAAAGATAGTTGAAAATTTTGTGCAAGAAAATAGTTTTTCCTTTCTGGTGTTCCATGTCCTTACTCATGTAAAAGCTTCAAATGAAATTCATTTAATTTCTGCCAGCACGTAGTAAGGTGAGGGCAAACTCTAGACTGTATCATATTATCCTTGTAAGAAAGGGCCCACTAGGCTTAGCATCCCTTATTGATGATAGAGGTATATGACAGTCAATGTTTAAACTACCTATGAGCTCTAAGGCTGCTGGAGTGATAAGAACACCCAACAGAGCTATCCGTAGCTTTGATGGATCGCTGGTATTAACCACCCTAATCTTGAGTATGTCTGACAGCCTGAAGTGTTTAAAAAAGACCTTGTATTCTTTTATTCATTTCATGGAATACAAAACAGCTTCTTGTTCACACCCTTACATTTACAGTTGTGCTAGCAATTCCGTTGAGAACTGCTTTTCCCCCCAGTATTTCATAATTCCATTATTTCTTCCATTAAGGCCTCCTCTGATTTGACCTTTGACAGGGAAGATCCTTCTCCAAATCCTGCTGTTTGAACTAAATTGTTATTTTTGGTTTTTAAAAGATCCCTGCCTTTTACTTTTACACCCACAAAAATATATATGTCTTAAAAGTTAATTTATTCCTTCATCCATCCATCCATTCATTTAAAAAGAGGGAAGATTAATTCAGGCAGAGATCTGAACCAATGTGTTATATTGTTATATCAGGAGCTACTATTAAAAAAACTTATATGGAAATATAAATTTAACCTTTGTCCCCCAACATCATAAGTTGCATAATTGCTGGACTGTCTATCTGTCTGAAAAAGAGAACTGTTCTTTTTGTGTATTGGTGATGGGGGTTTCAGAAGAGCCATTGGAGGATGGTGTGTTCATCTACAATCTCATGTATATGCTGTGTCTTTGTGGATAATATCATGTATCTAAGAACTATATTGGGACGTATACTTGGCCTTCCACATTTGCAGCATTGATTTTTGCAGATTTGATTATTTGCAGTTTTGATTAATATGTTCACTAGAAATCTCTAGGTCTTCCAGAACAACTCTGCCAGACATTGACCATAGAATTGTGTTAGAGAAAACACTTCTCTAGGAATTTGTAGGTCCTCAAGCATGATTCTATGATCAACGTCTGGCAGCTGTTGGCCACAGAGTTTC